AAAGATAGGTATATTTTCAAAACTACTAGCTGGATACTACAGTGCCATGATGTTATTTAATTAGAACCAGATAAAATTAGGTAAGACGTGATGCCCAGCAGTCATATGGGTAGGTAATAATTATAATTTCATACTGTTCTGTAGATACCTCCATATTAATTACAACAGAAGCAGTTAAGTTTTTTGGAGCAGTTAAATTCTTTGGCTCTGAAAGCATAGCAGGTTTTAATAGATGTATCACCTGGTAACCATGGGCATTATTAAATATAAGGACCTGAAAAACTTGGTAGAAGCAATGGAAAATCTGGCCAGCATGAGTAGTTTGTTTTAGAACTATAGAGAAATCTATTAACTACTGCTGCTATAGACCAATTTGATTAGGAAGTGGGACAAGCTGTTCCTTTCATTACACCAAAACCACATTGCACTTTGTATCAATTATTTGGCTGTCTGCAGCATGTAGATTAGAATGAAGGGCTTTCTCAGTGTTTGTGACTGTTGCAGATTGCTGATTAGTAATTAGAGTCCTGAATGAAGGAAATTAGGCCAAGATTGAATGGGAATGAGAAAGTCTTAATTCAGTCCTACAGATGTCAGAAACAGACTGTCTTGAACAGCTCATTCAGTATAGTGGCATTGTACATGCCCGTGGTGTTTTTTGCTTCCCATATAAGACCAAGTTAGATGCCTTTGAGATGGTTTCCTCTCCTATGCCTTGTGATGTAGCTGTATGGCTATTAATTTAGTGAAATATCCTGTCTGCCAGGTGTGGGAACTAGCTGATTTTATTGTAATGCCAGATCATTACTTAATTCATATGCAACCAAGCCAGCACATGGAAAGCATTATAAATCTATTTACAATGTGGCTGGTCTGATGATAACATTGCATTAAATTCCCAGGTGAGGCAATTTAAGGAATTGCTTTGCCATGTGCACACCATGGAAATTAAATTCTCATATACGCTTTAGTAATAAACCAACTTCATTGTTATGTTTTTGCTTGTGGTAGGCTGCAGAACCCTCATTCTGGTTGCAGATACTGTGTGTCCCATATAGAGTCACACAACAGGCAGAGCCAGAGATGACCATTTTTAATTAACTTAATTTTTAATTAATTTAAACTAAGCTAATTCACTTTCTTCCCTGTTTTGCAGTGTGTGCTCACAGACACATTGAGGTTAATTGGGAAATGTTGAAGTATAGGTTAAGTAAGTAGGTTATCTCTAGCCAAATCCCTAGACCAAACTGAACAAGTGTCTTTATTTGAACTTGGCGTTAAGGAAACCATCAATTAGTACCCAAGCATCCTGTTCATATCAATGCAAATCTCTTTACCTCTAAAATTTTCACTTTCATAACTGCAGACTCACTTTTGTCATCGCTGTAGAGTTGAGAGAGAAACTCGGTACCTCCAGCTTTTCAAGGCAAACAAATCTGTTAATTTGCCATAGTTTGGTCATATCCTATAGATTTTTTCAATTGTGTTTAGTTCATTTGAAGTATGAAGTATAAATCATTGAAAGAGTAAGTTTTACATAAGTACACAACTAAAGTGAAATGAGTGTGAGTGTGTACAAGTGTGTGAGTATGTGTGCACACAATGTGTATTTGAAATATTGTTGGATGAAGCTTTGCATCTTTATCGTATAGGCCAGGAACTGCAGTAGACTACACACTGCATAGACCTTCAGACTTCTCCTGAAGCCACACAGAGAGCACCCGGTAGACAGTGGTAACTGACAACTAAGACTAAAAATGTTGACAATTTCTTGATTTGCCTGGTTAGCTTATGTATAGAAGTCATTAACTATTTATAAAATGCATTATGAATTGGGTTCCTTCAAACTGTAGCTGAATGTGTGACATTTCCAGCTCAAATTCTCATGCTTGCATTTGGCTAAAGTACAGATTTTATACTTTTAATAATAAAGTGAAAATATTTTAGGTTTATCAGGATAACAATAAGGTTTCAGTTCATTAGCTTAGAATCTTCTAAAATAAAATATTATGTAGGTACTTAGTAATTCAGCATGAGGTTTTTAAAATTGTATAAAAGATAACATGATTTATTGATGTTTTAGGAACAATTATCCTTAAAACATGCCATTTGTCATTGAAAAGAATTTCATCGTTATTTATTTTTTAGTTGTTGTTTTTCAACCAGTGTAGTGATGATTTCCAAGACTGAGTTATGGTTAATTACCTATAGTCAGCTCATTAAAAAATTCAAGTATTAAGAAATTATGAGAAAATGCCAGTGTTGGGTTTCCAAGTATAATTCGTAATAAAGAACAGCTTGGGTTTGTTTTATTTTTGGAAAATGGAACGAACTCTAGTGCAGAGTCCCATTTTTTTGCATTATTGTGCCGTTCTCGTGGGGAGTTATTTCTGATATTTGCAATGAAATGTCTTTTCCTTCCTTAAGTCAATCCTGCCAGGGACCACTTTGTTATGCTCAGCATATCATTTGCTTAATTACATCCAGAAAAGCCTTCCAAGACCAGCCACTAAGTCCCAGTGGTGAGGAGTGACTTTCTTAGAGACCACCCTTCAGCTGTGGGTGCATCCTCCTCTCTGGCCGAGCCAGTATTCTCTTAATTGCTGCTTTTCAAAAGCAGTGTTTCCTCACCAAAACAAGATTAGATATTCAGGGCTCTGCGCTTGGATTCCTCTTTTGTTTGAAGTATACTAAATCTAACTAAAAACATAATGTAATTGAGCAATCTATGCCAATTTGTTGGTATTTTGGTGAAAAAGGGAGAAAACAAAAACAATCTCCATATGACATTTCTGCATCCTGTGGAATGTTTTAGTCCCCCATTGTGATGAAATGAATAATGCACAAGGCAGCTCTGATACCACAGCCTGTCGCAAAGGCTTTCATTCCCTGTAATGCTGTAAAATACTTTTGCTTAGCTGGTTTGAGACTGTGATGGTGGGGATCTCCAAATGGGCAGAGAGGTTTGGTGTGATCTAAGTATTGTACTAAGATCATGAAATGAGCTGACCTTGAGGCTTAGCATTTTGAAATACTGTTCTGTATGAAGCCAGTAGAAGTGGGCAATCCATAGTCGCTTCAGCAAGACAAACAGGCTAAGCATATGCTCTTTGTGGTAAGAAAATAGCTGGTGAGTTCACAGATGAATGGACTGAGACACTCCTGAACTTTTAAGAGATAACAAATAGATGTCCTTACCACATACCAAAGACTCACGTCTCTAATTTGTCCTCCTTCCTGTGACACCACTGCAGTTCTGTTTATTAAGAGACCTATTGCAACTGCTAAATTTTAAGACAGATATTGTGGCAAGAAAAGAAGAGGGAGACTGGGCAGGAAGGACGTCTCTGTCTTCTTTATACTGAAGTATTCTATAGCTCTGTGTTGTTTTCCTGAGTCTATCCAGAGGTGATAGTTTAAGGATAGATGAAGCTCTCAGCTGAGCATCAGGACCTAGAGATTCTAGTCTCAGTTGAAGAAGAGTTGCCATCAGAATTCTACAATACTACATCGTTTTCCTAAAACAAGTATCTGGGTGGTGTGTGTGTTTATTTATATTCCAGTAAGCCTTTTAAAACTGGGTTCTGCTAGATCCAGCATATCATTTGCTTAATTACATCCAGAAAAGCAGTAAACTAAATTATATGCAATAAGCCACATTCTCTTTTATGTGAAACCCTTGGGAGAATTGAGAAAATAGTAAAAAAAAAAAAATCATTTCCTGTGTTTTGTGCTTCAGATAAGGCATCCACTTGAGAAAGACTAGCCTTTCTAAATGATCTGAAACTTAGTGGTTGTTCCCGTCTATGGTTCTTTTAAATGATATGATTCTAAGGTATAATGAGCCAAGTGAGACCAAGCAGCATTGCTCATGGACTACTGTAAAAATCTGTTGGAAATCTTACTGTTGCCTCTTGCATATGGGTTACAGGTAGTCCTTTGAAACTGTTGTACTTTTTCCAGATCACAGATGAGCGAGGAAGAACTTTTAAGTCTAGGTAGATTATAGAGACCCAGGAAAGGATGCAAGCATCCCGCCTCCACTTTCCAATTGAGAAGCAGAGACGGCAGCCTTCAATAGTAAAGATGCAGTAGGGAGCAAGAACCAGACTCAAGTTTCACAACTAATTTTCAGAACCTCCCAGTTTCCCAAAATGTGTGTATTTAGATAATTCATGAGTTGCTTGCAGCCACGCCCTTCTGGCTCTACAGGTGAGGTTAGGATCCTCGAAAAATAAATTTCATTGTCAAATGTTGACTCGGAGCACACTACCTTTAGTTACTGGAATTGGAAAATGTATTTCCTTTACCAGTGTCTGTCTGACTGTGTGCTCCCCTTCTCCCCTCCCCACCTCCCTCACCCATGTTACTTTTCCTTAGGCCATTATTTATAGAGGAGTGGGAGATATTTGAATTCCTGCTAGCTGGGGCACAGCTTGCAATCCCTTCTCTTCCTGAATAGTAGCATCTCAGAGATGAAGTATAGATGTGCTTGTGCAGGCATCCCATGTAGAGCTGTCCCAGTGCAGAGCTGCCAATACGAGTAGTACCCTAGAAGGAGACAGTTTTAGAGCTCTAAATTGTACAGTGCATTTCATACTGAAGACTCCCAAACACTCTTGTCCTATTTACAATCTGTGAGTTTGAAAAATACAGCTATGTATTTTTCCAGGTTAGTGGTCTTTTTCAAACAATACGCATAAGAATAAATTAATTCTAAGCTACTTATGAAAAGTAATAGAACTTGAACACAGTGCAGAAACTTCTTTCATTATTGGTATATATGTTTTGTTTTGTTTTTTTAAAAACCAAAAATCTAATTTCCAGTAAGCCCCTGGAATCTGGAGTTTGAGTTAGGTTTGCACATCTCTGCTGGTAGGTTTCCATTAGGGGGCTCCCGAGGGTTTGAGATGGTCCTCCTTGATACCATAATGCTTGGATGCAAATGTTTGCTTTCTAATGTTCATCTTGCTTCTTTCTTTTTTTGTTTTGTTTTATAGAAAAGGTCACGGATCGCCTACAGTGACGAAGTACGGAATGAGCTCCTAGGGGATGCTGGGAATTCCTCAGAGAACCAGGTAGAATGCTAATGAGGAAGGCCCGGTGGGTGGCTGGAGGGTGGAGGAGGTCACAGGCACACTGGGCTCTCAAGCTGCTCCCTGGCAGTATTAGCAGCTACTCATGTGGAAGCGATACTGTTTAATGCAAAGCTGGAGTCTTAATCAACTTCAAAATGTTTCTCAGAGATCTTACATTTAACCCTTTACCTTGTGATCGCTGTCTGCTATCTTTTAAAAAACTCTTTTCTTCTCCTTTCTTTATTATTTAGTACTTAAGAAATAACTTGAAACACGCTGTTTGCAGACAAAGCCAAGGTCTTCACCTCAAACACATGTAAGAGGAATAAAAAAGTACACAATGCAGCTTTGAAAGGAACGCTGCATAATTAAATCAACACTCACAGCAAAACAAATGAAAGTGAGCTTTCAAAATTCGGCAGCACAGCCCCGAATCCTATTGTGTAGCTTCTTAAAAATACATTCACCAAAATGCAAATGCTAGCCCCAGTGTGGGACTTGTGTGGCTACCCAGGCTGAGGGCCGGCCCTGCTTCACAATAGCAGTGGGGTCAGTCCTGCTCACACCTAAAGATGTGCACACAAGAGAGATACTTGATACAGTTTCTCCTTAAAGGTTCCTATGACTTGTATGTCGCTCCTCATTGGTTGACACAGTCGTGCCATGAGTCTAATTAGCATCCTACTATTACTGTCTTTGAATTAATGCTGGAGGCATCATTATGTCACACAGGTATGACAGATCCGACTTTTAAAGACCCCTGTTTTTTCGCCCTCCTAGTGTAGAACTGAATCTAAAGAGCCTCACACAACCCTGAGGACTGATGGGTGACAGAGAGCGTCATAGGCAAGAAGTGAATGTGTTTATTAAGGCAGGTCTTCCACCGTTTGCTTCTCTACCTACGTGAACCACTCACCGAGTAAAACAAGCTTGTGATTAGACAGGAAGATGTAGCACATCCATCTAACAGGCTAAAATCTGCAGGACGGACTTCCCGTTTCAAGGAGTTTCCATTCACTACACTAAATTCCAGGCTACTTGAATGTGAGCATTGTAATTGGGAAGAAGCTGGTATGACAAAGGCATCTGTCCTGCTACCCCCAAAAATGGGAGAAGCGTCCCCAAACAGACGCTCAGGTTTACTGACCTCCTTCACTCTTTGACACATCAGCCTGAGTGCAGACATGGCTCAGATTTGACAGGCTTCCTGATGGAGAACAGCTACAGGGGTGGGGCAGAGCAGAAGTAAAATAACCCGGGAGGGCTTCCTCATAGTCTCTTAAACAGTGTGAGAGTGGGGGGAGAGGCTTCTCTGCCTTTTTAAAGTCGGATTTGAATTGCTCATGCCTTTTGGATGAATGAGTCACAATTTTCTTCTCTAACTACTGTAAAAACAAAACTCTTTTTCTTATTTTTTCAAAACACAAAACCCAACAACAACAACAAAAGCGTGTGTGGCCCCCATGTCAGTTCTTTTGAAAGCTGTAGACTTTCCCTCATCTGAGACTGCTCCCTCATGGAGAAGGACCAGGAAGGAGGTGTTTCTGTCTTACCAGGGCTGCTGTTTTGGGATGATGTCGTTCTCTGACAGATCCCTTCTAAGGCCTGTTCCCTTCTCTAATGGACATTATACACCCTGAGTGTTAGCTTTACACACACAGAAGAATGATTCTATGCCTAAAGAAAAATACTCCACAAAAATAGATTTGAGCTTACGCTTCCTGAATTTTTTGAATTATATTTCTGTCACTTTAAAGTGATTATGCAGAGACTTCCCCTAGACTTATATGAATCAAACTTACAAATTCTGAAAGTGCTTGGGGAACCTGAAGTTAGCTGTAAGGACCTGTCACTTCAATAAATACAGCACGGCAAATTACAGTCTCGAGAATATGCAAACGGTAGATTATGACTCGTGAACTTTTCAGCCTAAAATTTGGAATGAGGTGTGAAAGTTCAAAGAGACCATACTAAGCTTTTTGGATAATTTGTTACCATGCAGAGCAGAATTTCCATACCACGATGAAGTCATTAAATTTTGTGTTGAAGTCCTTTGTCATAATGTAGGGATTTAAATGTCTCTTCCCAGAGCAAACTTCCAATGTGAGAATAACTTTATTCTCTTCAATGGCCTTCTGACTCAGCAGTCAAGGCAGAGGGCCTCTCTTCACAGAGAAGGTTTTAAATGGGTCTTCATTTACAGTTTTATGTAGGTAAGAAGGTAGCTGTTCTAAGTGGACTCTCACAATTCATATAAGAAAATCTCTACTACCCAGAAAGTTTATGTTTGTGCTGATTGTTCACATGCTGGCTTCCAGGTCTTCCTGTCATATAATTATGACAGCCTTTTAATATACACACAAAGCTTAGCTATCTGCAGAATTAGTCCTAGTCACTTAAATTAGCATATATCTGTCAGTTAAGTATACAGAGTGACTGTAAGGGGAAAAACCAAGTAAACAGTCAGTAGTTCTGACTGCAAACGTGAAGCGCTGACTTCATGTCCACCGCCTCAGGCACCTCCTCCATACAGTGGCTTCCTGGGGAAGGTTTGGACATGTGTGAATGCAGTAGCAATTAGCTTTCTCTCTGTGGTGTTTATGGTGAGTTCTCTTAGACATCTACAACCGCATGTTGACATGTGTAGCTACAATCTTCTAGCCAGCTATCAATGAGAGTAATTTTCTTCAAGGGTATATTTATATTTCTTCCATGATTAGAAATACCACTCTTTCTGCAATTAAGGATTACTCAAGTGAATGCTTAATGTCCTCAGTACAATATACATCTAATTGCATTCTAGATCAACTTCCTTGGATACTTTTTTAAAATTCATATATATTTTATTTAATTAAATATACCTCATCCTAGATTTTTAAAAAAATAGAGAAAAGAAAGAAAAAAAAGAAAGAAAAAAAAGTGGGTGCCGGGAGAGACTCTCCGTTGCACTTGTAAGTACTGAAGGCTTGGGCCCTGGCTCCAGAGGACAAGTGTCCAAGCCTTTTTATCCGTCTTCCAGTGTGCAGTGTTTAATTTCTTTTAGAGCTGAACTGTTGGATGCAGTGATGCAGTATTTATTTAGAGTGGAAAGCTTAGTAGTTCTTAACTTGATTTCCTTTCATGAGAACCATTCTCAAAATAGACAAAACACAGATTATAGAATAAAATCATCCAGGCTTCAGAGTAGAGTTTGGCAATAGTGACAAATAAAATATCCAAAGTTCTTGTTTTGGATACTAATAGACTCTCGGTTGCCATATGCAAAATTATATTGATCCAGTGACTTTGAGAAAATCCTGCAGAGAAGATTAGGGGAAAAAAAAAACATATAAAGGATAGAATGGTCTCCACCATGAGGAAGTTTTTGTGGAAAAGGAATGTTTAACAGATAATGATTGCTTAATTTTTTAATGCAAGGTTCTCTTAAGTTCCGATTTGGGCTTGCTGTGCGTAAAGTGTGTCAAACTTCAGCTACAGACCAGGGGGTGAAGTCGGTCAATTTAATTCCGCAAGATCTGAAGAAGGTCGGTATCATTTCATATAGCCCCGGCAGAGCAGATCATTACCAGGCACAAATCTGCTCGTTCGTGCTGGGGGTTTCTAGCAAAATAAATAGACAGTCATCATAAGTTCAGAAAATTGTGTGTTCGACCCACGATAATGTGTAAAGGGCGTTTAATAGAGTTCAGCATTTATTCGTTATCTGTATGCGGACAGAGACGGCAGTGGCGTTATCAGCTTTAAAAAAAAATTCAGGAGTTCTGGGAGTCACGTGACGTACCTCACACACATACACAGAGAGGCGCTCATGCACACCCATCCTCCCATGCTCCACAGTGCAGTTTTGATTTTAGTCACAGCAGAAGGCTTAACCACAAGAGATTCCACTGGTTCAAACCAGCGTAAACCAGATTTTTTTTTTTCAGCCCACAAAGGAACAGATTACCTCTTGTATCAAATTCTGCATTCCGGGTGGGGTTGTGGGGAGAAATCTTTGTTTCAAAAAAGATTCGGATTATCATAAGCCAACATGATGGTTCTGCACACTTTCATGGCGCCTGTGATGGAGCTAGCGACTGGATACGATGTTCAAATGGCTGCTTTTAGTGCAGCCTGAGCATTGTTAATTTCCAAAAAGCGACCATCGACCATCTTTGTTTACTTCAATTCTTAACTCTTTGCCTAAACACCACCCCACCCCCACAGAAAAAGAGAGAAAGAAAGTTAAGGGGGTAAAAAAGACGAAGATTAGAAATCTCCCGTTACCTAGCTTAGTTACAGATCCGGCGTGGAGCTTGAATGCAGCCATGCAGCACAAACAAGATAGAAAGGTTTTTTTTTGTTTGGAATCCATTGAAAAAGCAAATGGGTAGCATTTTAAAACACTCTTGCTTACGGTAGGGTGGCATTCCCCAATGGACTTCATTGCTGACAAGTAGTTTTAAACTTTGGCCCTTTAAGTATCACGGTCAGCTGAAGAATGGTGCTCAGAAAGAACAGAGCTTTGCGATCAATTCCCACATCGTCTCTCTCTGAGATTCACTGTTCGAGTTTTTCTGCCATGCTGTTCAAATGGCAAAGAGAAAGACTCCAATATCTGATGGACTAGGTGTATTAGTTTAAATGTTAACTTCATCTAGAGAACAGATTTGTCACTTTCCACATGAAAAGATGAGATGCTATACTGGGCGGTTGTGGGGAAGGGAATGGGTATATTTAAAACCAATATAAACTGCTTTCAACAACTGACGTTTAAACTTTTGTTAAGTGCAGACTAGTCGCTATACAATACTTTCTAAACCCTTTCTGTAAAGGTTTTATGACAATGTGAATTTCCTTTTATGTCTGAAGTGCTTTCCTGTAATAAGTGACATAACAGAGTAAGCTGAACTGCACACTTGTCTACCTTAAACTTGAGACTAAGACACTAGGCGCTGAGATTCCCGGTGGTGGTAAACACGATACTTTTAGAGAGAATTATAGCGAACCATTCATAACAC